TCACCCAAAGGAGAGAGCTATGGGACCAAAGATTCACTAGCACACCAGGTCATGGGCAAGGATTTGCGCAGCAAGAAACTCCCCTACTGATAAGAACGAGGCCATGACATTTACAGGAATGAAAAGCACATACTCCTCGTGCCTCCAGCTGTTTGACAAATTACCTGTCATTGTTCCTGAGAACACAATATATAGCCATTTAGCACTTCTGGAAGGTGATTATGGAACAGTAACTAATATATAGATAATCAAGGGGTAGGATACAGGCACAAGTTTGCATGCAGGTATGTATATACACATACATGCCTGGACATGATGTAATGGTAATGACCAGAAAGAACTGGTGAATAATCCTAAATACCTTCAAATGTACCAGCAAGCCTATTGTTTATCCTTGGGGAAAGGAAAAAAAAAAAAAGCAAAAAAAAAGCAAAGAACAATTTTGGAGCATATCAGTTTTCACCAGCATACCATTTTCTTTGCCTATGAAATCAGGTTACCTTAGTTACCACAAGCGTTCAGGGCTCAGAGTCAGAGAAAGATTAGTAATCAATCTTCTCCAAACCATTCAAACATTCCTTACAGATCAGAGTGTCAGTGTTAAGGTCCAATATCTCACTACTACGGTTAGAAACGACTGCTTTAGACAGCACTGTTCCAGACAGCGTAGGCACGGGACTCTCCAGCAGGACAAAGGCTTTCTTCCCTATTGCAAAGAAAGTGCGTTCTTTCAGAAACAGTGTCATTTCACTCCTTGCCTTCCCCTGAACCACATTCACAGAAAAAAAAAATATCAGTGACTTTTTTTTTAATATTTCTGCAACACAAAAATTCTGAGATTTGGGATAACAGAAGCAGCTTCCAGCTGAGACAAATTGGTGGGAGAAATGGGAAGCAACAACAAAAAGCCAGATGAAGCACAGCTTGACCCATGGTTCCTGCAGCTCCCACCACTGCAGGAATGTAAATACCTTCCTCACTACTCATCAATAACTTGTACACGAGGCATGCATCTGAGTTTTCACTTACATGGAAAAAGGATGCTGTAATAAAGTCACACCAGGCTGAGACTGGGTTAAGTGCACTGTTCATGAGTGACAAGACTAGGAGTAGCTTAAGTAGGTCCTCCCTGACAAAAACAACCTATTATGCAACGTGCCACACGCTACAGGAAAGGGATCTGAACACTGCTCCACTGACCAGGTACTAGTCTTCATATTCCTCACTCACATCTAGTAAGCAGCGTCACATACACAGAGCCTGCTTGTACAGCACTGAGATGAACCCAACCACAACCAGGCTAAATGTACATCCCAAATTAAATCTAAGTGCTGAGTGCTCCATCAGAAAACTGGAAGAGAAACCTCTTCTCTATTGCTAACCCCCCTGCCTTTTCTAGCCCTGCAAGATCACAGGAAAACACCAAAGATATTTAGCACCAAGAAGGGAGCCGTGCCAAGCCATGTAAAGGAAAAACCAACCTTTACAGTAGGATAGAGGTCATAATGTTTTACTTCTTAAAGGTGCATTAAAAAAAAAAAAATCTTTTAACTTGAAAATTTCTGAAGTGATGACATCACTGGACTGAATTTTGGGAAGATGAGTTACTGGGCAAAGGTCAGGAGATGCAACCGGAATTCAGCTTAATGTGAGCCACCACACAGAAAACTCCATGCATATCTTATGTGGGTTTTGTGCATGATACACATAAACCAAAACACCAGTACAGAGGAATCATCTACATTATTAACTCTACAATGTTTGCAGAAATCTTTTGTAATTTACAGAACTCCATCTGAGTGGCTGTGGAATACAGTTTATCAATTCTGGATATTTTCAAAGGGAGTCTTCCACAAATACTTCATAAAATTACCTATCTTCAGAGATCGACAGTTTCTAAGCCTGTAAAGATTGACAGTGCTATCTAATTCTGATATTCCTTCTTTTACCATTCTGTACTGTTAACAAGGGCATATTCTCTCTCACCGCAACAAAAGAAAAACCAGAAAGAGAAAACACACATTGTTGCAATGTTATACTATTCATGGCACCCCCATGGGCAGTCACTAATATTCATCAGAAAATACCATATTTACTCCTATAAGAGGCCCCAAAACAAAAGCAGCAGATTGCAAGCTCACCTATAGCAAGCAACAGGTGATTACCCTTTCGGAGCTGACAGGTACATTGGCTGCACATTAGCTTTGGACAGCAGAACACGATGAGAAGGCAAAGATGAAAAAGGAAATGCAACCACTAGGTGAGCAAATACTAAGTTCTTTTTAAATAAGTATTTTCTACAGAGCAGGAACAGGTTACATTTTCCATGCAAAGAAAAATTTCCTCAGTCAAGAACAATTAAGAGACAAAAGTGAAAGCAGCATACTGGACATTGTTAACGGGAAGTGCATAAATCCACTGGCACGCAGAGATGGAAAAAGATAGCAAATGTCTGTCTTTAAAAAAAGCACATTCCCAAGAGGTGACTTTGAAGGCAACTCCAGCGTTCACTTTGCTGAGATCTGTGCATGGGGAAAAGTTGGTACTCAGCCAGTCCAAGCCCAGGGCCCAGGCCAGGTGTGCTCTGCCATGACAAGTGAGTTCCAGCTGTTCTCGCCTAAAGGCTGCTCGGCTAAATAATCCTCATTTAGGCAACAGCCCAGTAGCTGTGTAGGCACACACATTCTCTGACTTAGAAGTTCACTTTTCAAGGACAACAAAAGTCACTGAAGATCAAACCCAGCATTTGCTGGTTTTGTCTTCTGTTTGGTTTTTTTTTGTTTGTTTGGGATTGTTAGTTTGTTTTTTAAAACAAGAATTATGTTCATAGGTTGTTTGGAAAAATCAAATTTCACAGCTTTTGTTCCCAGGAACCAGACATGACAAGAGCCTTAGCTGACTGACAGCCATCTAGTCATCTCCTAAACACCTGTCCTGCAAGTCTGAGTGGAAAAAAAATAAGTGAATACCATCATACAATCTCTATCTCTCCCTTCAAATAACACACAAATTAAAAGGCAGCTTGACTCTGCATTACCAGCATGACTCAGACGAAAAAAAAAATTACAGAGACAAATGAGTCTGCATACTCAGACTAGCAGTTAAACAAACATGTTCTAAACTAGAATAAAACCAAATTATCTTATGAAGAAAATAATCTACACTGAGGCCCATAAAACACACACACAGACACGCATACTGTTTTGGCATTAAAACTCTGCATAGATCAAAGATGCACTTCAGTTATCAGAACCCCCAGCGCACAGAAGTCCTGCAGAAATCCAGCCTCCCGCCATGGGACCAGGCGCTAGGGCCCCGTACTCCTCCCCAGCACCCTCAGGGCACTCAGTGGCTGCTGCCCCTAACCAAGCACAAGGCTTAAGAAAATAGAAAAAAGTGAAAGATCTTAAAGTGAAAAGGTCTATCACACCCACACATACACATATATATTAGAAACTATTCAAGCTAAGACTCTAAAGGTTCTTACTTTAAGTCCATTTCCAAAATGCATTTTAAGTGCAAGTTGTGCTTTTTCATGTGCTTGTGATGCCACTATCACCATTTGTCAACTGCCTTCCAGTGCTCATGTGCTTCCACGCGGAAACAGCCAGGGAAGAAACACCCCACATGCCAGTGAACAGGCAGGAAACTTTTTCCAACTACTCTTAAGACCAGCATGGCAAAACTAGGGCTTACAGACACTTAGTTAATATGCAAGTCATCTTTACCCATGAGCATAGTCCTGCTGGCATCAACCGGATGACGTGCATGGAGCAGGGTTTCTGCAACAGGGCCCAGAGCAAAGTGGTGTGCAGTGAGAATAACTGGTGCTCCCACACCACTGCCAGGGATGCCGCAAAATCCAGCACCACTGTCACGAGCACTCTTGGTACTGCTGCAGAAACTGCACGGGGGGGTTATAGCAACAAAAGCCCCTTCGCTTCAACAGGATGGATCTCCAGGACTGAACTTCAGTATCTAAAGGATGAAATGGAAAGTGAAAAGCACAACAGAGTTTCACGTATTTTAACAGCATTGCAGGGGAAAAAAAATCCACCTTGCATTTTTAAACAATTTATTGCATAACGTCATGATATGTGACTAAATACATTTCAGGCTACAGTGAGGACAAAAATCTCTAAAACTGTAAGTACTGGAAATACTGCATTATGAAAATGAAAAGAATGGCAGCATTTAACTAGAATCAATACAAATTAACACATCTGGGATTTTGTTCTCTGTTTACGAAACAAATAGTCTACACTGCAAAATAGCTATACCCTAAGTGAAGGAAAATGCTGGGATTTCGTATTTGCCTTCTTCCATCTAAAAGTCTCCAAGACACTTAATTGATGTACTGTTATTTGAATGCAAATTATTGCAATTACAAGTGTCCCTGTATTTCTTGATCTGTAAAAGTCAAGAGATGTTAGGCTAAGTCCTGTCCCCTTTTTCTAGCAAACTCGGGGAGAGGGGGGCAAACTCCTCCTTCTGGGGCTCTATCATTATTCCACAGGTGAAAAGACAACATCTAGAAGAACTTCACGTAAAACAGTTCCCTCATATATATTTTTTTTAAACATTAAGATAGTGCAACTTTTTAAAACACATTTATCACAACACAAATTAATTCCTTGCATTCATCTAAGTTCTCAACTTTATACCTTGGCACACAAAACAGGAATTTTGTTTCATTTTAAAAAAAAATCCACACCCTGGGAGAAAAAAAAAAGCAAACTGGCCAATTCTTCCCCCATTTATCCAGCAAAACCACCTTCTTTCTTCTGCCATTCAGTTAGTATAAAATAGGCTGTAAAAGCCTCATTTCTGTGCTAAGTTAACTTTTAGAATTAAATAATTGAAATAGTTTATTTAAAAAAAAATAATATATCCCCCCCTCTCCCCTGAAACACTGCTCGTAGACAAACCAAATGGAAGTTTGTATTTCTTTCAATCTGCTCTGCATGCAATTCCCCTGAAAGGAATCAGAAACAAAGAACTGGTTTGCACGTTTGGTTTTACTAAGTTGTACCACGTGAAACGTAACAACATTGTGCACCAGAGCATGGGGGTCTTCCTCCACCACCCTGCTTGAATCTCTTGTCTTCAGTTCAAATGCACCTGGGCGAATAACTTAGACCAGGTTTCCTGGTTTGCGGTCTTGGCCTTTGCTGGGGACTATTGTGCTCTCTGAATTGTTCTGCTGAAACTGAAGTCTGCTCCCCCTCTGCGAGGAAGGAGGTGCGTTGCTGTGCTGGTGATGGAAAAAAGAGGAGCCCGGGTAATGTCCCATGACCTCGCTGTACGTCGGGGGTGGTCCTTCCATCCTTCCATTACTGCTGTAGTTGGTTGCACTTATGCCCGAATTGCTGCTTGGTGGGCAGGGGCCCCCATTGTACATCGAGATGTCTATCAAGTCGCTATCAAAAATGGTTCGGTTGGGCGGTGCCCTGACGGATTCCCGGTTGAGCTCCATCTGCTGTTCTGGGTCCCGGAGCTGCAGGGTGCACGGACCTTGGTACGGCGGTGGCTCTTCTCCATCAGAGAGGGAGATGGTGGGAGGAAGGTCAATTTCATGCTGCATGTAAGGGTAAGTGGGCTGGAAGCGACTGAAACGGTCCCGCTGCATAAAAGATGGGGTGGTAAACCTGTCCCTGGACCTTGGAGCATACATGATCTGAAATGGGAAGAAAGAGACACGTGACTCCACATCTCAGCAAAGCACAGTGGGTTCTCCGTATTTACAAAGAACCAATAAAATAGAAATTACTTCTCTTTGCCACCTATCTTAAAAAATTAAACCCAGCAGATACTGTGCATGCGTGCTCCCGCACACATGCATGTGAAAAGAGGCAGGAGTTGCAGGAAGGATCTAACACAAGATACTTGAGAACTGCTTCATGAAGAAAGACCAAGACCTGACATAGCTCCTTCTGACATTAAAACATGCAGAGCTGAGACAAAATTATTCTGTTTCTGTACACAGGAAACACTTTCTCTCTAGTCTTGACAATTAACTGGTTTTACAAAAATGTCCCAATACTGAATTTCAGCTGTAGTCTGAGCCTCACCTTCCTACTCAGAGTTAATGTAATACCCCGCATCTGATGGTCATTTTAGGACATCTTGTAAAGGCCCGGCATATCTCACGCCTTCGCTACCAGAGTGTATCAGGTATCCTCCTCCCCCTCAGCTCTCAGTGAGAATTCAGTCTCCAGGGAGGACCTGCAATGCTTCTGCACTGTGAGTAGAAAAAACTATCCCCAGCATATTAAGCCCCAGAGAAGGTCAGACTTTACAAGAGGAAGAGTTCAAGATACTCTGTGAGAAGCTATTGCTCCTCACTTGGTCTACCCCACATCTAGACAGACACACCAGCTTCTTAGATCTACATCTATCAAACTGCTCTTCTAATTTTTGGGTCCATGCAGGGTCTTTAGCCCCCAACCCTCATAGATGCAAGGTCAGCCACCAGGAAGATTCACTGCTGGACACAGGTGAGCTGGGCTACGTGGCGCAACATGCTCACAAATTATCACTGTGACAAGATATCTGTGCTAGCTGGAAGACAGGTGACACTGGTGATAGGATATGCATTGTAAATCCAGGAAAAACACAGGGAGAAGAGCAACTGGTCTCACTGATTCCAGTGAATACTCGAATTACTCATAAGAGAGACACCTCCACCACTTACCTCTGAATGCCTGCTATGATACAGGCAGCTGCAGAGGGAGATGAGGTGTCAAGTAGGTAGTATTTCATTATTTTAATAAAAAAGGTCTTAGGCATTTACAGAATGGGAGTTAAGGCAGGCTCAGATGTCCACCTGAACCTGTCTCTTGGCCTGCACTGGAAAAGCATTATTTAAGATGCATGTTTTTGAGAGGAGCCAAATATACATAACAGGAAAGAGGAAAACACATTGGTGAAGATAATAAGAAATCTGTCTGTACCTCTGAAGCACCCTGGCGCGAAACTGAGCTCTCTGAAGGCCACAAGCACCCTTCCTGGAATGCAGAAAAAACACAACAAAAGAGAAAAATTAATAGATCACATCACCATCCTACCTCAAGTACAATGACCTTTAGGAGCAGTCAGCTTCTAAGAGCTGGCTATCCACACTAAGAGAAAGGTGATAAACAACTAACATCCCACCCCTTGTTTTCCAAAACCAGAGCAAACAGCAGCTCTGCATCCAAACAAGTCAAGCTCGGTCCATTTTGCAAGTGCCGAGATGCCAGCCGCACCACCCAGCCTCACAGGCTATAAGGATGCAGCCAGCCGGTTGCAGCTACGAGCGCGTGGCAACGTGCAGAGATGAGGAGACCCTGCAGCACCTGCAGGCTGAGCGGGTACCCGTCACCTCCCAACTTGTGATGAGGCCTCATCAGCAAGTATGATGAAGCTGACCTGCCAGCCAGGATCCTGATTACATACAGGAGCCAAAACAGTTCACAACGAAACCTGGTGTCTGTCTTCTCAGTAAAGTGACATTTGCTCTGAATCCAGGTATAGCCTCGTCAAAACTGTCAAGGTGCCCAATTCCCACCCTAAACAGGAATTAAGCAGCTGAGGTTTCAGCCACCGGTTCCCCCCTTCAACCACTTCCCCAAACACCTTCTTCTCAGGCCAATTTTCTCTCACATGCCTCGAAAGTTTGTTCTAACATTGTACCAGCACTCAGGGCAGAATAAAATGGTGCAGAACGTGCCAATAAGGGAAAACAGCTTAAGGTTCTATCTTTGTTTTTCTTCTCAATTACTTGTTTAGAGTAGCAGTAACTACGGCAATGGATTTGTTTTACTGGAAAATTTCAAAGTGGAAAGGGACACATCAAAGCAGCTATAAAGTACAGAATTTCGATCTTGGTGCGAAAAATGAAAATCAAAACATTGTATGGTCATGACTATTTTCTTGGTGCTAATTACAGTTTTATGATTTTACAGACATAAAAAATTTCAGGAACAGGAAGGAAAATGCATACTGTCCCCAAAAGCATTACTCTCTATAGGTTAATTTCAAATCTTACTGTACTGCTTTTTCTCACCATAGCATCTTTCAACATATTTCAGATACAAAAATAGACCTAACTAGATGTTCATCAGGACACTCAGAAACCAAAAGCCGTCTGCAATCTTGTCCGGAGAGTCCACCACAGAGGAAAGCTGCTCTAAGAGGAATCTCACACAGGATTCAGTGGTTAGGGGAAATGCTTTGAAAAACAAAGCTGGTCAATCACTCTTCTCTTGTAGCTTTAGAGACTAAAGACAGAGGGAGGCTGACAACTGCAATTGAGAGACACGGATGTCATCTATCTGGACTTCCATAAGGCCTTTGACATGGTCCCCTGCAGCATTCTTCTCCCCGAATTGGAGAGATATGGATTTGATGGGTGGACTGTTCAGTGGATAAGGAATTGGTTGCATGGTTGCATCCAGAGGGTGGTGGTCAAGGGCTCAATGTCCAGATGGAGATCAGCGGTGAGTGGTGTTCCTCAGGGGTCTGTATTGGGACCAGTACTGTTTGATATCTTCATCAATGACATGGACAGTGGGATTGAGTGCATCCTCAGCAAGCCTGCAGATGACACCAAGGTGGGTGGTGCAGCTGACACACCTGAGGGACAGCATGTCATCCAGAGGGACCTGGACAAGCTCAAGAAGTGGGCCCATCTGAACCTCATTGGTTCAACAAGGCCAACTGCAAGGTCCTGCACGTGGGTCAAGGCAACCCGTGGTATCAGCACAGGCTGGGAGATGAAGGGATTGAGAGTTGCCTTGTGGAGAAGGACTTGGGGGTACTGGTGGATGAAAAGTTGGACGTGACTCTGCAATGTGCGCTCATAGCCCAGAAAGCCAACCGTGCCCTGGGCTGCATCAAAAGAATTATGACCAGCAGGTCAAGGGAGGTGATTCTCCCCCTCTACTCCACTCTCGTGAGACTCCACCTGGAGTACTGCATCCAGCTCTGGGGTCCTCAGCACAGGAAACACATGGACCTGTTGGAGTGGGTCCACAGGAGGGCCACAAAAATGATCAGAGGGCTGGAGCACCTTCCCTATCAGGAAAGGCTGAGAGAGTTGAGGTTGTTTAGGCTGGAGAAGAGAAGACTCCAGGGAGACCTTATTGTGGCCTTTCAATACTCAACAGCAGCTTATAAGAAAGATGGGGACAGCAATAGGACAAGGGGTAATGGTTTTAAACTAAAGGAGTGTAGATTCAGACTAGATACAAGGAAGAAATTTTTTTACTGTGAGGTTAGTGAAACACTGGAACAGGTTGCCCAGAGAGATGCTAGATGCCCCATCCCTGGAAACATTAAAGGTCAGGTTGGGCTGGAGCTCTGAGCAACGTGATCTACTGGAAGATGTCCCTGCTCATTGCAGCGTGGTTGGACTAGATGACTTTTACAGGTCCCTTCCAACCCAAACTATTCTACAAATATTTACAACTTTCTTTTGCAAGTATCCTCATTTGCAAAAGCAAATATGAAAGATAAATCTTATGTAGCTTCAATTATTTCAGTGCCTAGATAAGGTTTTGTCAACAACAGAAGTTATAACTGTGTAAGGGTGTACATATACACACAGACATCCTTGTTCCCATCTTCCTTTCCACTTCTCCATCACCCAGATACCCTCTTTTGAAATATCTGAGGGTGCATTTGTGCAATTAAAGACAATCAGGTTATCAGCAGCTGACCAAGCAGGCTCCAGCATGTTACAATTGTTAATTAAAACATATTAGTCAAAGCTAAAGTGCCCATGAACTACATGCAGCCCAACAGCAGATTCCCAAGTGATGGTTTGAAAAATACAACAGTGTGTAGCTTTGTTTATTGTAACTGTCTCAGTCTCTCCTTTAATGTGTTCAGGCTCAGAAGAGAGAAAAAAAGGCAAAAACCATTAACCCAACCAGAAAGGAATTCAATCTACCATCATCACTCATGTTACTTAAACTCCTTTATGAAAGATTTGCTGATGCAGAAGTCGAAACAAAGACTCCCATCCTAAGGCCCACCTCCCCCTAGGGCAAGAGAGTAAGAGCAGCCGAGGGAGATGGTGCAGTATACGGAGAAAAACTTGCACCGAGATGGAGCAGGACCTGCACACTGAGCCTAGGCACACAGACCTGGTACCAGCAATGTTCTAACAGAAACACCTTGCTGTAAGAGTGAAATTGCCTGTTCTACTGCTGATGCCTGAATCCCAGTACAGTAAAAGGCCCTGCCTGGAGGCACTGCAGCTGCTACAGGGACCCCACACAGTGCAACCAGGGTGCTGGGACAGCTGGACCAAGACCAAAGGAACCCAAGGCTCTCCCGACTTGGCTAACTACTGAAGAAGGTAGACAGCTTGGGATGCAGCTGAATAGTGACAGCTAAAATGCTTCCCTGTGCTCAGATCAGTGAAAACTGGGTAAGAATTGACAGCATTTGTATTTATATTCCCCTCATACTGTTTCTCCCTTTGTTATTCAAAACACCAAAATAGACTGGCCTAATAATAAAAAAAACACTTTTTACTGCTTTTCACTCAGTGACTTTTCATCCCACTTCTCATCCTGTGAGCAAGAGTATCGGACGCAAGCAATACTACCTGGCACGATAGCTAACCAGCCGCCAGGCCTGGCTCAAGCTCCAGCCCCAGCACCGCACTGCCTGGAGTCACATAGACAAACACTTCCCAGCCAGCAAATCCAGGGCTAGCAGTCCTGCTGGGCACCTCTCTCACACCAAACACCCAGGGATTTGTACAAGTAGTTCTCAGGTATGTGCAATCAAGGCTAAACCTAAGCATATGCAATTTACTCATTTTTTTCTGTGGGCAACATATCGTTTAGCTGTTTCTTGCAGGTTTTCAATAGCTAGCCACTTCAACTTGCTCCTTCTTAAATGGACTAAAGGTCTCCAGGCATGAGCTTCAATACTTAAAAGTAACAGGGAGCGAAAGCTTATGCATTCATTGTATATTGTGTTAATTTTAACAATTTTAGGTTTTAGAATGAAAAAAGGTGAGTCTCCATGGTAAATCCTAGCACCTACAAATAACACCAAAGCAAGAAAAACCTTAGGGATCCAGCTCTGTGTTTTGCTGACCTTTGCAATTCCTAGGTTTCATGATAATTTACAGAAATTAATTTTGTGATTAGTTTTGAAATAACAGCATCATTTGACAAATCCAGCCAGGTGATTACTTAATTACCGTATGGTGGTAATTACTTAACTCAAAATTTAGAGTTTAGGAAACTGGATAAGCCTAAGATAATTTACCTAATTTGTATTTTACAAAGGCTTAGAGCTTCTAGAATTAAACAGTCTAGGACGATGACTTTTTAAGGCCATTTTTAAACATTGTGCTTCCTGGAGCACACAGTGTCATCCAACTACCTTGACTGAGCATCAGCACATTGACAGACAGCAGGAAAGAAATTTACTGGAAGAAGAATGTTTAACTCAGAAAATTGCAAGTAAATATTTATGCTCAGTAAGAAAAACTCCTCAAATTTTTCCTCAAACCGTTATGAAGCAAAAGCATCCCCATGCTGTTTTGGGCTGGGATAGAGTTAATTTTCTTCATAGTAGGTAGCATGAGGCTATGGTTTGGATGTGTGCTGAGAATAACATTGGTAACACCAGGACGCTTTAGCTGTTGCCAAGCACTGCTTACATTCAGCCAAGGACTTTATCAGCTTCTTCTCCACAAGAAGTTGGGAGGTGACACAGCAGGGACAGCTGACTCCAACTGGCCAAAGGGATATTCCATACCATATGACATTATGCTCAGCATATAAAGCTGGGGGAAGAGGAAAGAAGGGGGGAACACAGAGTTATGTGTTTTGTCTTCCCAAGGCCAAGCTGGATGAGGCTTTGAGCAACCTGGTCTAGTGGAGAGTGTCCCTGCCCATGGCAGGGGGGTTGGAACTTGATTATCTTTAAGGTCCTTTCCAACCCAAACCATTCTATGATTCTATGTGTGGTGGAGCCCTGCTTGCCTGGAGATGGCTGA